TAGTTCAGCTCTTTGCATGACAGTAGGCCTGTATCTCCTGGCCTAAATCTCAGCCTACTTTTAACAATTAGGTTAATTATCAGGGAGCTAGTTATTTACTGATTAAAGGGAAAAAAGTAAAACTGGTAGTGGGTCGTGCATGCTTGTAATCCCCGCAGTCTGGGAGGCTGCAGCAAGAGGATTGCAAGTTTAAACCAGGGCTGGGTAACTAAGTGATATTGTGAGACCCTGGCTCAAAAAAAATTTTTTAAAGGACTAGGGATATAACTCATTGCAAAGGCCCTGGGTTCAATCCCTGGTGTTGTATGTTTTTAATATTGTATTAAAAGATTCATTTTACATAAAGACATTAAACTGTAATCGATTAAAATGCCTATTCTTAAAGGTTTAGCAAAAGGTAAAAGAGAGAGACCATCTTCTAAATAAAGATAATAATTAGTGATGAAGCTTTTCTTCAGAAAAAGACCACTTCCTTTTAAAATGCCAAAATTTTAAATGCCAGCGTGTAGTAATATTGGTAAATGGTATCCCTACTTAATTTTTCCTGACCATTTTTTAAAGCTTGAGTGGTCCCTTCCTATAAATGTGTATGTGCTAGAAAAATACTTTGTTCGTTCAAAGCTTTTCTACTTGTAACTGCAACTGTGAGGGTCTCGAATTCTTGGCATAAACATTTGGCTTAGGTATGTACTGTTTATGTACCTTTATTTATACTTCATTTGTATGTAGTTTTTGGGTATTATAATTTTGTATTAACATCTGATTGACTCAGTAATTTTAGCTGAAAATACTGTATAATAATAGCCTGGAAAAAAAAGTTTCAAATTTAGCATTCTAGAAATTACATTCAGACCCAAAGTATCAATTGTTTTGAAAAAATGTAGAAAATGTGTTTTTCTGTAGGAAATGTATTCTGTAGAAAATGTAAAATAGAAGGGGAAAGTACCAATGTTTGGAGTAAAGTTGACCAAGATTTGAGTCTTGTCCCTGCCATCTTCTGAAAATGGGGTTTCAGGCAAATTAATATTTTTAAACCCCTCTATCTTAAAGTAGGGGAAGTAATTTCATTTGCAAATGATGGTTAAATGAGACAGCAAAAGTCAAAGCCCTTAATAGGCTTATAGATTATAATCATCTTAATTGTTCAGTAAGTGTTCCATTTGTCAGTGAAATTTTAATACTGAAAAGTAGCTGTGAAAGTGTACCCCAGAATGCTTTTTTAATATCCTTAAACATAGTTACATTAGTCTTTTTTTGTGAGGAGAAAGAAAATAGGTGAACTCTGGATACTATTGATCCAATTATACATATAAGGTGTTGTTAGGAGGACACCTAGTAAAATTACCAGTGGAGGTTATTCAGAACAAAGTTAATGCTCTCGTGTAGGGTTTACAGAAGAAAAGATTTCATTGCTTATAGTATAGTTAAAATTAAAACATACTGTTGGAGAATTAAATTTCAAACACCAGCAACAATAGATTGCTTTCACTTTAATAGTCATCTAACTCAAGTAGGAGGTGCTGTGTGTTTTCTCTTTGTGTTTTAGGTTAATTTTGGTTTCACATTTATATACTTGAGTATCTTAATTATTCTATTGAATGTTATACCAGATTATCTAATAATTATATTTCTGCCAACCTCAGTCATGTTAACCATGTAGTTAACAGAGAATGGCTTAAAACATTCATATTGTCTATGAACTGGAGAGTTTATTCCTGCATTCCTCCTAATAGTGGTTCTTTACATTATTACAGTGAATGCCATGTAGTAGGCCACTAGAGACATTTGTATGTATGCTTTGAAACAACTATTTTGAAGAGAGAATCCCATTTTATTTTATCATGCTAATATCTTCCAAATTATATGTATGCCACTCCTAAATTGCTCAGTGTAAAAAAAATATATATATGTATTTGAAGCAGGAAGGGAAAATGTACTTTTACTCTCAATCTCCTCTAGCACCAGTCATCTTCCAATCTTATTTTCTTTCATAATGGTAAATATTACCAAATCAGCCTATGTTTATCTACACCTTACTGTGTGCTGACATATCACAATGTTTATTTCAGCTTACTTCAAACATATTCTGCATCCTTTTTTTAGCTACTATCTTGTTGATGTTTTTTGCTTCTTTGGGGGTTTTCACTCAGCCTACTTCAGTGTATTTAACACTTACTCAGTATTCCATAGAGTGGATGTTCTCTTTCCCTGCCTGTACTTTCCAGACAGTGATACCAGGCACACCTCTGTATTTGAGCAAATTGAATTTATTACTTTTTGTGGCAGAGAGAATGTGTACCATAAAGGAACCCACAGGGTGTCTTAGTAAAAGACTTTGAAGGTAGTGATAGTAAAGAGTTGGGCTTGCGTAAGGTGATTTTGGCGGGGAAGGTTTAAAAAAGTGGAACTTGAATGGATACAGTAAGAAACTTGATAATTCTTTGATGTATATCTTAGTAAGCATCATCTAGAAGAAAAGGCAAGATTGAGCTTCAGACTGTAATTAACAAGGAAGCTTCAGTTGCTCATATTGGCCTGGATTTAGAGTCATAATTGTAGTTGTGGAGATATACATGTTTTATCTGTGATAATGATCAGTGATCATTATGGAGTCATACTATTTTTGTCTTGTTCCATCATGGTCACAAACTGTTCTGTAAACTGTCAGTGTTCAGTAGAGCAATCCTGTTAATGCCATGCTAGTTTACAGTAAAACCAAGACTTGGCAGTTACTACTAGGCTGGCTTCACAATGTCAGGGCTACCTTTTTCCTTGTTCCTTAGCTGATGAAACAGAGTGGTTGTTTCCAAGTTTTTATTTCTATAAGTTTTTCATCGCTGAAAAGAGCTTTTCTATGACATGGAATTTTTTGTACATATGCAAGTATTTTTATAAATTTCTGCAAGAGCAGTTACATCAAAGTATATTTAAGACATCATAAAATTTGAATTATTATCAACTCTGAAAGGCTGTACATGTTTCTACTATTACCAGGATACTTGAGTCAAAAAAACCATTACCAGTCTAAAATTTTTTTTCTGGCTACTGGGGGAATATTATTTTACTTTTACTTATTCATTTATTTTTTGACTAGTAAGTTTGGCCTTAAAACAAAGTAGCCATAATTTTACCATTTGTGTTATTTTCCTGTTTAAACATTTATATAATTGTGTATTTCTTGTTTTAAGGATAT